AAGAAGAAACAGCTCTGACAGGGAAAGGAGGAATCCAATTTTACATGCATTCAGAAATATAACTTTTGATATTTCACTCTGAATTTATTAGCCAGTGTTTCAACAGACTTTTCCCTCAAGTTTAAGGTATTTATAAAGTGCTCTCAGGCTACGCACATTCATCATAACCTGAACATAGATGGTGAACTGCACTACCACAAGTGAAGTGAAGTGTCTGAAGCTTATTTCTCTGAAGTACTCTTTGCCATCTCTCCCTCAGACCCTGCTTATTTAATCTTAAATTGGCCCTTCCCTGCTCTTCCAGCTGCAAGCTTGGAAGCTGTTCAAGGCCAGAAACACAGGAGCAACAGCCTGGTGCACAACAACACAGTAGCCAACAAAGAGGAACAAAGGAGTTCCTGCAGCCATCCTAACAGCTGGCGCTACAAGAAACACAGGCTAACAAGAGCACTGACATCCACCACATGGTCTTCAATGTCACAGCACAAACAGTCTGCAGAACTCTGTAAAGCTGCAATTTCAATCCATCCATGTGGAAGAAGGAGTTGTGCTCTTATGGATAATGCCCACTCACTGCCTCTGTCCTACATGTGAACTTTGTCATGCTGACGCAGTTGATAAACTCTTCTGGAGCACTTTCCCACAAATGACACATGCACCTGCTTAAAATCTAAATCAGAAAACAAGACTACTGGGAACTTTGAACCTAATCTTGGGGATTTCTGCCTACCTTACTCAGCTAGAAGAGCTCCCAGTCAGGATCATCATGTTTCTCCAAGACCTGGAAACATGCCCATTAGAACTCCAGCAATCTGCACATTTTCATTAACCATGGTATTTCACATGGCAATCTGAATTCAGCAAAAAATGTTGTCGGCTCCGTTTTTTGCTCTTGTGTCCTATTCTAAAGGATCTGGCTAAGTGACATGGCATGAGCTGGATAGGAAGGTCTTAAAATGCTGAATTTCAGATTAAGTTCAAACAAAATTACCAAGAAAGATCTGGGTAAGTAGACTGTCAACATACGAGTATCTATATAGTCTGTTGAGTGAGATAATCTATAACACAAGTAACAAAGCAGTACAGTAGAACCAAACCGATACAGGAGCTGGTTAAACATCACGATATCCGGATAGCAGCAACAGGCAGCTGCAGTGCCTGTTCTCACTCTCAACTCGAAATGCTCCTCCACTTCCCTGTCCAGACACTAGCAACCTGTGGGTTCACATCTCTGCCTAAGCCCTGCTTCTGAGCGCTGGTGAGAGCCAAATGCTGGGAGCACTTTAAGAGTACATCAGCTGCCTGGTGTAACAGAACTCTTGGCATTGTTTGGATCCAGTTTACATGATGATACAGTTGGTTGAAAAGCCTAGCTGAAGAGGGAGAACTTTTCCCACATCTGGGTTAATTAAGGGCATCTGATATTTATGTGAAATTCCCATCAACCCTTCCCAGGCAAGTAAACACCTACAAGTCCAGTAGGAGGAAGCATCTCACAAGCCACTATTATGGTACCTGCCTGGTCAGGAAGGAGGGACAGAGAAGATCTGGTCTCAGTGGTCATGTGCCCTTTAACTGGAGTATATTCACACCACCATAGCAAACATGAATTTTGTACAGTTTGTTTCTCCTGCCAGTTTCTTTCTCTGCTCTTTGCCCTGTACTCCCTGGCCAGGCCTCCTGACTGAGATTGATTATTTGTTCTTATATGCATTCATTTTCCCTAGAAACCCTCTGGCCTGCACATCCCTTTCTATTAAGCTGTTCCTCCTGGTCCATCTTTGAGGCTAATAATAACCCTCGATTACCTGTCATAATCAAACCTCTAAACCCACCTATTTAGAGAATTCTGTGCATTTTGAAGGTAACTCTCTGCTTATCTGCTGTTGCTTGTCTTTTTCTTGGTCCAATGGGTCCTTCACCTATTCCTGACCTCTGTACCCCTTCCAGGGCTTGCGTCTCACCCAGGCTTAGCAGCACAAGCAAGAGGGCTGTTTGCACAAGTAGGATGTGCAGTGCCATCTGCTGATCTTTTTCTGTAAAGATCAACTCAAAAGACAATCCCTGATGGATGGCTCATTTGGGCCTTCTGGAAATTGAACTAGCATTATCATCAAAGGCCCAAACTTCAAGCAAACAGTTATATAGACATATTTAGTACCTGAAATATGGAACCTTTGAACCAACAAGTTTAAAGAATTGCTAATCAGATACAGACTTTTAACCTCTGAGCATCAAGTCTTTGCTTTCTACCCTTCTACCTGATTTGGTATTTTGTTTCTTGCTTTGCACCTGGTGAGTTTTTAGATTCCCAACCACTACACAGAAAGAGAAGGATCCAGAGCTTCCCAACTTGCTTGGTTAGGATTCATGAGTAAAGAGAACTATGAGTACGGACAAGTTCATGGGTGTGAACAGAAATCCTTAAGCCATTTTCCAAGACAGAAATACTGGGATTTAATATTAAAAATTTAAGACCTGGAAGCTTCTATTGGTGGCTGTGCATCTACTTCCACTAAAGGCTACACTGCAGCAAGAAACCTAGTTGGTGGCCTGGTGAAAAATTGCAGATAGATGAGAGAGACATTATTTGAAAACAAAGGAAATAAAACGGTAGTAAGGAGGGCCCATTAATGCCCTGCAACATAAGGTTATGAATAACTCCAGAGGTCCCATTGAATCCTACTGTTGTTATGGAATTGTTGTCATGTATAAAAAGAATTAACATTAGCAGTATTATTTAGCATTTCAGTTAGCTCCAATTAACTTCACATTAGGAAGCTCTGAAAGTTCATTACTCCTGGATGTCCACCGTGATATTAAACACACAGAACTACCATGACAGTACGCCAGTGTTTCTGAGTCAAATGCCTCATACTTGGAGCTAAGGCCACCCACTTGTGAGCAGCACATGCTAAACCTCATACTACTTCAGCAGTACTTATTATAACACTACTGCTTACAGCAAGCTGTGTGGGTTGTACAGTACATTAATTTACATGCCATCACACAGAATGCTATCTCAGCCAGCATCTATTCTCTTTCCCTTATCAGGATGGATATTTGAGCATGGGGTAGTAAATGGAAATTATACTAACGTTTTCTTTGTCACTTATGAGACAACATTCTGGAGAGCACCAATTACAGTCAGCCTCCAAAAGAGCATCTGAGCTGCAGTCTCTGAGCTGGTAACACAACAGCCCTTGGCAATGGTCATGAGGTCAGCATAGGGTCACCACAGACCATCGTCTTTCCCAGCTCAGAGGGAAAGTCTAACAGCAGAGCTCACCGCTGAGCCATATCCAGTAATCCTACCCCCTTCTCTCCAGCCTCCTGAGCTAAGCATCCAGCAGATCTGCCTGCAGGGCACTGGTAGGCAACCAGCACTGAGTCTCTTCCTCTGCAGTGCACGCACACCTAGGCACACCAGCAAACTGAAGTAATGGAAGCTGAACCAAAGCTCAGATGTGGTCATATCCTACCCTACCCAACCCGTATTAAATTCTGCAGCAATGCCTGACAGTACATTTCTTGGGTGATCAACTCATTTTATATTACACCGCTAACTATCACCACCAACAGACAAAACCCGAAAGGCACCATCATTGACACAACTGGTGTGAAGCACATGAAATATCTTGGCAGTGTTTGTCTCTTTTGATTCACTCCTTTCTATTCCCGCACACAACCCTTTAATTCAGAACATTTTAAAAGCAGCCTTTTGTACTCCACTATGATCCCAAGAGCAATTCAGACCCATAAAGGTTTTTATTCAATCACTTGCACTGAAGGTCTAAAAACAAACAAAAAAAACCCCACCAAAACGAAAACCAACAAACAGAGAAGTCTGCAGCTGCTGTCCCCTTGGGGCCAGGCTGCCGCAGATATGTTTTATCTCCAGGTTTCCATGTTGCCACACCCTCCGAGGCGCCCAGGCGAGGACCGGGAATGGGAGTACACAGCTCGATGAATGAAGCCCTTGTGGAACGCGTCAAAGATGGGTCGCGATAACCGATAGTGCGAGGCGCTGCCGCCTAGAAGAGCGGGGTCGGTTCTCTCTGCACGGCGCCTCACTGCCCTCGACCGGCGGCGCGGCGCGGGACAGCGCCGGGGCGGTTCGGGCAGCGCCGGGGCGGTTCGGGCAGCGCCGGGGGTGGCGGCTGGTCTACCGGCGCTCCACCGCTAGCTCGAGCGCATGACACCAGCTGTAGGCGACGCGCTCCCCGAGCTGGCCCATCCAGCCCGCCGGAGGGGGGTGTGTCCGCAAGCCCCAGAGGTGCAGCTCACAGACGTTCGGGGAGACACCGCCACCGCCGCCGCCCCCTCCCGAGCCGAGCCGAGCCGAGCCAGCAGCCCCGCCAGCCCCTGCTCGGGCGCCACGGCCCCGCGGCGTCCAGTCCCCGCAACCGAGCAGAGCCCAGCGCCAGCTCTGCGGCCCAGGCTGCGGGTTCCGACGGCAGGAGCAGCGAGAGGGGCACGGGCGGGGACTGCGCTGCTCTGGCCTCCGTTTGCGGAATCGGTCCCGAGTTCTGACCCGGTGCAGGCGCTCGTCCGCCTACAGCGGCAGGAAACCCGAATCCCACCGCCCCTGTGCTTCCCTCGCCGACGCCTCGGGCGAACTCGGCAGCCCCCGCCGCCATCCTCCCAGCCGCGCCGGACACGCGAAGTTCCCGGCTCCCTGGCATCTGCCGCCCGGCCGGCAGTGCCCGCAGGGCCCGGGCCGTTTCCCGGCCGACGCAGGTGGGCGGCGGGCAGGGCGCGGCGGGAGGCGCTGCCGCAGCCCCGCCTGGGGCGGCCGCCAGCTCACGCCGGACAAGGGGGGCCGATGAGAGCCGGGGGAAAGAAAGGGGGGCGTGAAGGAGGGAGGGACACGAGCCGGCCCCGAAGCCAGAGCGGGCGGCAGGGCGGCGGGGGCGCGCGGGGATGCCGGGCGCGCCGCTGGCGGGGTTCATCCGAGGACAAGCGCTCGCTCCCGCCCCCTTCCCTCCGCCACTGCTGACCTGTGTGCACCCGGTAGTGCGCCTTGAGGTGGGAAGACTTGCCGTAGACCTTGCCGCAGCCGCTGTAGGGGCACTTGTGCCGCTTCTCGGCCGCCAGCTTCGCCTTAGGGGCGGCCCCGGCGGCGCGCAGGCGGGGGGGCGGCCCCGGCGGGGGGCTGCGGGGCGGGCTGGAACCCTGCTCGGTGGCCGCATCGCTGTCGGAGCCCGCGTCCTCGTCGGGGCTCTCCACGCTGTCACTGCAGACGGAGGGGGCGGGCAGCGGCCGGTACTTGTTCAGCTCCAGGAGGCTCTTGGCGATGGCCAGCAGGGCGCAGTAGTCCTTCCAGGCGTCGCGGGGGTCGCTCAGCTCCCGGGCCGCCTCCCCCTCGTCCGGCACCTTCAGCCGCGCCGCCTCGGGCACGGCGGAGCGGTTGGAGATGGAGACCAGGCACTGCGCCGCCACGAAGTCCACGTACGCGACGGCCGACATGGTGCGGCCGCGCCCCGACGACAAGGGGGGCTCCGTCCGCCCTCAGTGCTCGTCCGCCGGGCAGACCGCGCCGCCGCCAGCCATGGCCCGCCCGCGGCGCGGGAAAGAGCGGGGCGGAGGAGGAAGGGGGCGTGGGGGGCGAATAAATAGCGGGGCGCCGGGCAGGTCCTTCACTGCCGCCCCCCGGGGGCGGCGCGCAGACGGCGAGGGGGGAGCGCCGCCCGCGCGGCCGGCCCGGGTCCGGCGCAGGGACCGGGGGAGAGGATATCGCCCGCCCCTCGCCCCGCGTGCTCCTGCCGGGGGGCGGCCGCGCCGGGGCCCATCACGTCAGGCGCGGAGCCCCTCCCGCCCCGGCCGGTCTGCGGGCAGGGCAGGCCGGCTGTGTTTACTTTCTCCCCCCGCCACTCACGGCGCCCCTTTTCTAGGGGGGGCGTGTCCGCCGGGCGGCCTCCCCGCCAATCGCCGCGCTCCCTCCCCAGGCCGCGTGCTACTCCGAGCGCCCCGCCGCGACCTCTTAAAGCAGCGATGCCGCGGCGCCGCCGGGGACGGGATGGCAGGGGTGCCGCGGCTCCGCTCCCCACCGTGGGGATCGTGTCGCCGGCTCGGCCGCGACCCGGAGGAGCCGGCGGCGGCCTCGGGAGGGGGTCCGCGGTGGGGGCGGCGCAGGCCGGCGGCGCCGAGCGGGTTAAGTGGCTCCCTGGAAGTCCTACGGTCCCAGCAACGGGCCGGCCAATGGGAAGTGAGCCGGCTGATGTCACTGACAGCGCCCCGCCAATCAGCGCCCGATCCCGAAAGGTGCGCAACGCTTGGAGGCGCGGGGAGCGGCGGGCGCGCGCTCCGGCCGCGGCCCCCCCCGCGCGGCCGCTGGGGAAGGGCGGGAGGGGCGCCGGGGATGCCCGGCCCGGCCCGGCCCGGCCCGGCCCGGGTGTCCGTGACCCCGGCGCGAACCCGGGCTGCCTCCCCCTTCCCTCCCCGCGGCACCGGGACCCGCGAGATGGGGCTCCCCGTACTGCCCCGGGACCGGGCCTCCGGGCCACATGGGCAGGAAACGGGAGGAGGGGCGCTGTGCGGGAAGTGGGACCCCGCGAAGCCCCCCGGAGAAACCCGGCGGCGGAGTTACGCGCTCCATCGCCGGAGCGTCATCGTTGAGACAGGCGGCTCCGTGAGGCGGGCAGAGGGGAGCCCTCCGTGCTCCCAAGATGAACGGGGCATGTCCTTCGGAGGTGGTCAGCGAGCGCGAACCCCGGGGAAGAGTTTTAGAAGCACCTGATAGCGTCTGCGGTTTTGCCACTTTTGGCAAAAATAAAGGTCAGGCTGACGCTTTACCCTGTCGCCGAGTAAGTGCCATCCATCCTAAACGAATCCGAAAAACCTGTCACCTCTACCCCAAATAATACGCCCCCATCTCTGCCCCATCGAACGCGCAAAGCTCATAGAGTATTGTGAAAGCTAACTGACCTGTGCTCAGCCTGAGAAGAGTGAAAAATTGGGTTCTGGATCCAGCACTATTTAAAAGAAGGAAAAGAAGTTACCATCATCCCTAAGCCAGCAGTACTGAGGTGTGAAGTACGTCAGTGTCTTTTGCTGTTCTGCAAGCATCAGGAGAGAGAGTAACAGAAGGACTTGGCCTTTGAATTAAGCATGTGAGCCTCTAAAGCATTAGCCAAAGTAACAGAGGTGCCTCTGAAATCACCATCTAGATGGAGAAGCACTCCTGTCAGACAGAGGAGCTTTTCCCTGCTTTTGTGAACTGCATCCCAGGGAGACTGAGTCCTGGCAGGACAGGGTCCCTAACCGAATCATGCTGTCCTTGACTGCAGCCCACCCTTCCTTGCAAAAATAGGCTGGGCCTGAATGGTGAAGAGCTTTATGGATTGCTATTAATCTCATTAACTAAATGTGGAAATGATGAGGAAGTGTTGGCTACCGAAATGAGGCAGTGTTGTTCTTTTCCTGCAGGAGATAAAAATTAGTGATGTCAGCCATTTTGTATGCTAGCGCACTAGATCGCTGTGTGTAACCTCGAGCAATAATAATCCTTTGCTATGGATAATTGGCATCATCCTGAAATAATTTTATGTGGCATTACTCAGAAAAAAAGAAACAAAAAAAAACCAAAAAAACAACCCAAAACGCACAAACAAAACAAAAGAACTAGAGGCGAGGTCTGTAAGTGGATCATCTGTAGGTTGGTGAAGACTAAAGAGAGAACATGAGTAGAGCAACGTACCTAACGGGGTGGTCCTCAAGTATCAGTCATCAGTCAGCAAGTCACTCTTACCCTGTTCTCATAGCATTTTTTCCAGCTAATCCAGCATCCATTGGCCTCCAGTGCTTAAGAGACACCAGGCAGAATCGGAGGTGTGATTTTCCAGGGCTGATAGGAAGGAGGAGCAGAAAGTATTGTTGTTTCTTTACCACTAAAGCTATTGAGATATGTCTGGTTTCTGTATAGTGCTGGTGCCTACAACCTTCTGTTTCCTTCGGAGGGGCAACAGCATTTTACACAAAAAGCTGCATCCCTAGTCAGTTAATCTGGATATCCGGGATGTAACTTCACAAGTTGCGTATTTGTCATTTTTTTTCACAGCACTTTCAGATCTTCTTTGGCTGACAGTGACCAAAAGTTCCTGCTTTGGGATGTCCTTATCCACATTTCAGTGACATGTTTCCCAGAAGGTGACTTGCTTATTTTGTGTCAGATTCTCACATTAATTATTCTCTTGCATTAATTTGTACAGTCCAGAGAGGAAAATGTTCTTAACAGCAGCACACACATGCCTGGAAATGGGATTTTACTCACAAACCTCTTTATCTCCGGATGATACAGGCCATCACTCATATTTGACTGTGCTGATGTTATGTTGATGTGCAGATGGTAATACTGGGATATGGTTTCAGAGCATGCATTTAATCCATAGCTCAGTTTATAATGCACAGCTAATTTTTTGCAATAACTAGGCTAAACAAGGATGTTCTCTTCGACTGTACAGATGAGATGTTAAACTAGGCAGAGGGGTAGGAGCTAGGTGATCTTTGCAGTCCCTCTCAACCCAAATCACTCTATGATCCTAAACCCATGACAGCACTTAGATATAACCCTAATACTCTTCCTCACTCGAGGGCACTCACTTGTGAAAGCCTGAGGTCCAAATTCAACCCACGGTTCAAAGCTCCAGACCAGCTTCTGATGGGCAGATGCTTGCCCTCTGTGCAGTCCCTGGGTACAGGAATGTACCTGGGCGAGTCAGGGAGAAGTTGTCAGTGGCCACTTTTAAGGCAGCTGGTTGTTCTCTGGCCCAGAGATACAGTGCACAGACAGGAACTGCTATGGGGAGCTGTAGCAATGAAGTCTGTGACCTCCAGGTGAGTGAGAAAGGCACAGGTGGGACTCAGGTAACAGCCAGGGGCTCACGCTTGAAGGGAGTGCAGGGAGGTGTTGGAGGAGAAGTAGCAAAGAGAAGAATGAGAAGTGGGATTCAAGGGCCTGCAAAGAAGGTGAGGGAGAACAAGTCTGTGTGTTTGTGAAGGAACTTTTCAGAATAAAAATCATGCCCACTATCCTTTACTCCATACTCCCCAAGTCTTGTGCAGCCTGACCTCATGCCTAAAACACTGCACCCCCTTTCCAGAGGATGAGAATGACATGCCGGCATCTGTCAGACACCCTTGGAGAGACCCAGACTGTGGGAACCCTCAAGTTTTTGCTCCACAAGCCAATTTAAGTAATGACCTTTAGTGCCACTGAATTTTTCGCCAAAAAAAACTTTTTTTTTGAGGAGCAAGTGGTCTCGTAAAGACAGTCTGAATCAGGTGTTCTGCTTCAAACCTTGTTCTGTTGCTTTCTATGACGCAGAGAGGTTTCTTCTCTGATGGTGTCTTTCTACCAAGACAAAATTTAAAAACCCATCTTTCTTCTGTAGTAATATTTCCTAATATTTTGAAGGTCACAGGCTCCAAACATTATTCCAGATCCTGCTTTGACTTTTTTCATTCTCCCAGGCTCATGGCATGTGCTCCAAATGATTTGACAGGATGCTAGGGACTGATCAATTTAGTAATGGCTGAAATTATATGTCAAGATAAATGGCCTGTTGATAAATTGATAAATGGCTGACGTATGTTCTTAAAGCCTGTGACCATGCTGAAAATTTGTGACTGATATTCCAGCAACGTGACAGAATAGTAATTCAGCAGTCATATAAATATGAACACATTGTATTTTACATGTGTGTGCTATCTTCCATACCAATGTATTGCCCAGATTGTCTGCATGCATTATCATGGAAATACTTCTGGAAGTATTCTATCATGGAAGCAAATTCTTCCACCGGACAACTGCTACGACTCCCATTGTGAAGCCTGGTGTCGTAGGAAGGAAGTGCTTTTTTGAAGAAATGTCTCTCAGTCACTGAACACACAGAGCAGACAAAACGTTTCTCCATGTGATGCAACAGAAACCTTCGAATTAAATTTCTGTAGATCAGAAGGATTCAGTGGAGTTGCTTACTATATAAAGGCTCGCAAGACATGGTAAGTATCTGCTAGCAAACTGTCCTTCCATTTTAAAAGCAGCTATACAGTAGAAGACTGTATAGAAGACACTTCTGAAAATCCAAGAGTATGAGGATTATCAGTCTCAAATTCAACTTCCATTAGGGGCAAGCATTGTGGATACAGAGCTGTGCTCTTTTCCTATTTACTACTAAACATACTGTTTACTACTTGGAGACTATGTTTCTCTGTTCTTACCTTTAACTTCTCCTGGTCTAATTCTGCCCTTATTCTGCACGACAGGATTGACTGTGGTCTTGGTCTTGAGGTCCTTCTAACACCTCCTGAATTGCAGCTTCACTGTGAGCAATTCGGCTGATCTCCAACCTCTGTATTAAGGATGGCTCCTCTCTCCTGGATCTTATCTCTGCAGGTGGTAAGTACGCAGGGGATGCTGTGCCTCCATGACTTGGGCACCAGGGATATGCATTTCAGCTTGGTTTGGG